GTTTGGAAGTCTACATAAATAAAGAGAAAGGATCTACGTTATGTGAATGTCTAATGAACCTTAAACAGCACCTGGTCTTTATATAAATTACATTATAAAGTATGTTTTGACTCAATTYCCACCTTGTTTTCTGCATTTTGAGACTTATTTTTACCTGATCGTGGCTTTAGTTATTAGTTTTCAATGTAAAGTTTGATATTTAACAGTGAACTTTCTCTGTCTCCTCAGAAGAACTCAGGGGAAGTGACTCTCAAAGACTGCTTGAAACTCTTCATGAGAGACGACGTGCTGGACGGAGACGAGCAACCGGTAAAAAAACATTTTTATTTTTTTTATTTTGTGATTACAGTATGATGCAGAGCTGAATAAATCTCACCATCAGCTCTGGGTTTATCTCTGTCTCAGACGTGCGACAGATGTAAAACCAGAAGGAAATGCACCAAGAGGTTCAGCATCCAGAAGTTTCCTCAGATCCTTGTGCTTCGTATCCTTTTTCTTCTCATTTCTGCAGCGTGACGACGCAGCTAAAGCAGCAATCTTCCTGCTAATTTGAGGGCAAATTTCCAGCTCGCATTTGACCCTTTCTGACCTACAAAGCTGAGAAGTTCTCCCTCTGTGCATGAGGCGGGGGGAATAAACTCAATTTAAAAACCCTTTTATTGTAAAGAAAAATGGCTATTTTTGGTGCTTTTTTTCCCTTTCATTCTATTGATTTGCTTTTAATTTAAACAGTTTTATCTGTTTTTTTTTCACGTTTTAACTGTTGAAAAGTGTTTTAAAGTCTTCATGCAGATACAAGTTTTAGATATTAAATAAATCAGATCAGATTTGGAGCATAAACCAGGTTTACGTTGACTTTTGGAAGGTTCTTTTTAAGATGAGTATAAGTTATTACAGAGAACAGGTGCGTTGTTTGGAACCAGGGTCTGTTCCTTAACTCATTTTTTCCCCTTCGAAGACTTGAAGCGCTTCTCAGACTCTAACGTTCGAACGAGTAAACTTTCCACTTACGTCAACTTTCCTCTCAAAGACCTGGACATGCGTGAGTTTTCAGCAGTGGGTGGTGGTGAGTACTTTTGTGAGTATAATTAATCCCCCCCACCCCTCCACTGTCATGGTTAAATGACCATTGTGTCATCTCTGCAGAGCGTCCCATCTATAACCTGTACGCCGTATCCAACCACACTGGAAACACCCTGGGAGGCCATTACACTGCCTACTGCAGGAACCCGGCACTGGGGGAGTGGTACAGCTACAATGACTCCAGGTATCGGGTCTCAACGTCATCGAGTTACTTTAACGTATCATCTTATCAGATTGGCCTAACGATGGCAGTACATACCTGCTGTCCAATAAAAGTGACCTCATCCTTTCTGTACAACTCAGTTTAATCAGCAAATTATGTGTTAAGTGTTTATAACTTTAAAAACTTAAGGACATAAGGGTTTCGTTCAGTTTTTCTCATGGTGTCTGTTCCCTGCAGGGTGAGTCCCATGTCCTCCAGCCAGGTGCGCAGCAGCAACGCCTACGTCCTTTTCTACGAGCTGACCAACTCCTCACACGGCAAATATCAAACGTGTCGGCTGTAATTACCTAACACTGGATCCACAACCTGCACTTACCTGAGCCTGCGTGGAGAGCGCTCCATCCAGTGGAGAGTATCCTGCCATTACAAACTGTGAAAATGGAGCGCAGAAAAAAAAACAACTGGACTGTTTTTATGAGCAGTTTTGCTCATGATTTGAGTGAAACAAGCTGCCTCAGTCAAAACTTTGCATTTTCTTGCAGTGCACCAGCCATTTTTTGGTCCTGAATTTCTCCTGCCACCTCTTTTTTTGAATATTTATAAATAACCTGGAGGATATTGGTGTGTGAGAACTCACCTTTCACCAAGAAGTCATTTATTGTATTTATTTTTATTAGAAGTGCATATTGTTTATTATCATTTACTGTAACAAAGGTTTTGGACTCTACCGTTGGCTAGAGGATGTTTTTAAGTCAAAAAAATATTTTTTATAATATTTATGGACAGTAGAGCCAATGTAATTGTATTTAAAACATAAGCAGTTGTATGAGCAGCAATATTCCTCTTCCAGGTTTAATGTTTCTGACTTTATATCAAAGTCTATAAATCATTAAAATTCATCATTAACCTAAAACTTTCTTGTATTTGTTTTAAATAACCAATGTTTGTCCAGCTACGTAAAAAGATATTTAAATACCATAATTCATCCAAATTTAATTTCGTTTTCATTTTATTTAACTACAGATTGTCTAGTTGTGTACATGAAAAGTATAGATAAAAGCATTTATGGTAAAACAGATTTTAGTATTAGCTTGCTAGCTAATCTGGGCTAGAGCAGGATAAACAGGCACATTTAAGGCAAGTAGCTAAAACATATTACCATATTTTAGACACTTGAGTTATAATATCAATTCTTTATCAAGAAATGGGGACCTTCACTCCGGCTGTTTTTAGACTATGTTCATAAGACACTGATGCACATACAAACTGTAGTTTCCAGCCCAAACGCCCAAGGTCTTTACAGTACTATAAAGTAAAATTACATGAACAGAAAAGGACTTTGGTAAAAAGAAATTTCACTGATGAGAAAACTACTCAAGTAAAAGTCATAAAACTGTTCACAAAAATTGGGAAAGTAAAAGTACTTTTACACACTCTCCAAAATAAACTGTTGAATTCACTGAACCAAACTGGTTCCACTAAGCCAGATTGATTAAATTGAGCAATATATGTATATTATTTGCTCAGTTTACTCAACTAGACTTAGTGGAGCCAGCTGACATGACATTGTTGAGTAAATTAAACACTTCATTTTTTAGAGTGCAGAAACATCTTTCATGATGAGTTCAAATATATTTAATTTTGTAACAAGTATCTAGGTGTTACATTTTAAAGTAATTAAGTAAAAGTATCATTTAGCTTTAAAATGGAACGAAATAAAAGTAAAAGTAGCTATTTAAAAAAGTGGTAAAATTACAAACGAAGTAAATGTACTAAGTTATGATAAACCTCTGCCAAACACAACGTAAAACCTGCCCAACCAAAAAGACAGCCTAAATTTCAACCTCTGTTGAGACTTACGTTAAAGATGTAGAACTAGAACTATATATAAATACACACACGTATATATATATATATATACATACATATACTGTACATGTACATGTATATATACGTAACTGTGTGTAGTATAAAAAAGTTTATTATTATAATTTATTATTATTATTATTATTATTATTATAGTTTATTATTGATATATTTCAGCCCACCTTTGAAATAAACTTTCCTGTGATTCCTGAAGTCAGATGGTGATTGTCCAATCATTTGTGAGCGGCTAATATTGTATGCAAATAATATGTGTGACGTCACGAGTGAAATTCACCATTAGCAGTGCACCATTTTTAATTTACCAATTAGAAGGCATTGTTTAAAATACATTAGAAGGACAGATGTTTGTCTTAATTCATATTTAAAACCATTGACATTGTGTTTAGTTCATCTGCAGTAACTGGAGGTCATTGATTGTGTACAATCTGCTTGATTTTACAAGCTAAATTAGCTTTTTTTAGGTCAACAGTTCACTAGTTACTTAACATATCTCTACCAGCAGAGGGAGGTGTTGGATGGTTAATTTTTTAACAGTGCTTTATCCTGATGATGTTTAGTGACATGGACTTATTTCCAAATTATAGTAGTAGATATCGCCTATTTTATATATATAGTTRGTGCCAATGCCTCTCACTTCTGAAACAACTTTTAAACCACCCACGGGACACAAACACATTCCTATATTTAAAAAAAAATAATAATATTATTTTATAGAAACTTGTAACCAAAGATAGCCTACGCTGTGTTTGGATCAAGTTGTGTGTGTATACCTAGTTTTTGTTACCTTTTTACGACCTTTTCTAGTGGAAACACCTACCAGTAGTGATTTTTATTTTGGTGGTTAGGTTTAGGTTTAATGTCAGGGTTATGCTACAGAAATCACGGTCCTAATAAGGATAGAAAAACAAATGTGTGTTGTCTAAGCGAAAGAGATTGGGTTTCTGGGCCTCAGGCAGGCTCACAAGGCTAATTTGTGGACAGAAAAGATAAAGAGTTTCAGTCGCTGTAGCACTAATTGGGCTTTTGCCAGAACACGAGAGTTTAAGGGTTGTGTTTCCTGACCCTGGTCGTCGAGACACACCGTCCTGCAGGTTTAAGATGTCCTCACTCTAACACACCTGGCTGAAAGGAATGAATTACCTCAACACYTTGCCAGACAGCTCTACGGAAGCTTAGAAATGTGATAACAGTGAGATAAATAATAAAATGTTAGTGGAAATTTTTTACACTCAGAAAATGAGCTAAATAGTAAAAATGTATTGGTCATATGTAACACTTGATGCCCCACAGTGCTGCTGAACTTGACAACACTTTGAGGAGGTGATTGAGTGATTTGAATCAGGTGTGTTGAAGCAAACAGTAAACACTAACCCTTATTTTTATTGATTTATTGTCCTGATTGATTACCTAAGTTGATATTTTATGTTTAACTTTTTTTTTTTGCCTGTGAATCGATACACAAAGACACTTTGACACGGTGTCCTCAGCTCTATTGAGAACCATCTGGACTGATCGCAGCTCATGAGGGGGAAGTTGTGTTTCCTGCTTTGTTACCAAGCGTTCCTGGTGTTGACTCTAATGGCTATCATAAAACGATGAGGGTTCAAATCCAGCTGAAAGTGCAACCAGGACACCAGGACAGGTGAGAAACGTGTGCACTTTTTATTTTACTTTTACTTTCTCCAGTATGACTCAAGTTTGAAAAGTTCTCTTTATTATGAAGAAAACACCCACTTCCAACAGTGCTTTATTTTTATATTACATTTGAAAACATACTTTACAACCTCATTAAGCTTATGTTAAATATTTCAGATGCAAAGAAAAAGTGCATGATCAAAACTTAAACTCAAAGAGCTTTTGTTAAAGTTATAATAAAGAGATATTCCAGTTTATGAAAAATGATCATAAATGATAGTTTTGATTCAAAAACAAGTTAACTAATTCTGTTTATGTTTTTAATTAATTTGGAATAATACATTCAGACTGAAGGCCCAGTCAGTGGGTAAATGTCGCATTTAAAATAAAATTTTAATGGTAAATGCCTATTTATATTTATGTTGTTTTATTTTAAATACTAAACAAAATAAGCACATGATTTTTTGTTGTTTTTGTCCATAATCTATTTATCCAAAATAGCTGCCATAGTTGTCAAAACTTTATTACAAAAATGTAAACTCTTACTTTTGAAAGGGGAACATATCAAATTAAAAGCCTCTTAAACAATGACTTTAACTACATGCTAAAACGAATACAAAGTTGGAATAAGCTGCACAATTTAACATTCACATAAAAAAAGTTAGCCTAAATTTGTAAAATTGTAGCCATTTCAGTGTGGGCTAAGACTGATTAGCTGGGGCAGCCATCTACTGGATCGCTGATGTTATAGAGGTGCATAAGAGCCTCTGGCATCAGTTTGTACTGGGAGTTAACTTGCTGTAGATGTAAATCCAATGATTGATTTATGAGAGTTTTGTTAAACTGTCTATCTGTTTATGAGAGATTTTTACTAACAGGTTGACAAACACACAGTGATGTATTTAATTACACGATCATCTGCCTTTCATGGTAGCAAATGATAAATATCTCCACTTGTAGAACACTTAAGTGCATCATATAAAATCTATTTATTCCCATTTTAAAATCAGCTTAAAATCGTATTCTGACTTCCTGTCAGATAATCATCGTGGTTCAGATTTATTTTTCTTCCTTTGACTCACAAAGTCATCATTAAAGACACACATTTAAGTTTTATACTGAGTGCAATAAAAAACATTACGTTTGAGCTTTTTAGATCAGGTCATCTCAGGTCTTGATGTATTTCAGTAGACCGTAGACACCACCACCTGAAAATAAAATYGTTTCAGGTCACAACTAACATTTGGATTCATGTACATATTACCAATAAAATATTTTTCAGTGTTATTACATGTAAGCACTGAGGAATGGTCATGTTATGGAAACAGATGGAAACGTTGTTGGTCATACTCACCAAGAACAGCCACCCCAGCAATGGAACCTATAACTATTCCTGCAATGGCTCCTGATGAAAGACCCTCTGGTGTTGGTGTTCCAGTTGGTGGTCCAGTAGTTGCTGTACCATTTGTTGTTGTGGTTTGTGTAGAGTTGGTTGTAGTTGCTGTAGTGTTTGTTGTTGTATTTGGTGCAGCGGTTGTTGTATTTAGTGTAGCGGTTGTTGAAGTTGGTGTAGTGGCTGTAGTGGCTGTAGTAGTTGGTTCAGTGGTTGTTGTAGTTGGTTCAGTGGTTGTTGTTGTAGTTGGTTCAGTGGTTGTTGTAGTTGGTTCAGTGGTTGTTGTAGTTGGTTCAGTGGTTGTTGTAGTTGGTTCAGTGGTTGTTGTAGTTGGTGCAGTAGTTGTTGTAGTTGGTTCAGTGGTTGTTGTAGTTGGTTCAGTGGTTGTTGTAGTTGGTTCAGTGGTTGTTGTAGTTGGTGCAGTGGTTGTAGTGGCTGTAGTAGTTGGTGCAACGGTTGTTGAAGACCCCTCACTGGACTGCGCTCCACATTGAACAACTATATTAAATAAAACAAAAACTGTTGAAGAAATCTCATATTTATATACTTCAGCTCATGATATTACACCATTTTTTAACTAATCAATACATTTTTGGTGTATTTTCGAAGTGTTTTTTTTACATAATTACGTTGACAGACATAATAAACCAGACAATGATTTTGACCAACTTCTAACATYAACACATCCATTGATTCAATGATTTGAAACCTTTGATGTTTAAACTCTCCTTACATCACTCTTCTACTACTGTATATCTGGTTCACTTCAATTTAAGTTTTCAAATACTAGAATTACAACAGATAAAAATCGGCTAGATGAATTTTATATAGACAGGTAGCATTTTATCAGGTGTTCAGACTATCTTCTTCTTTGGTAATAAACTGTTTTTATAGTTTCACCACTACATTAATGGTTAACACAGAAGTAYGACTGTGGGTTGATTTGGCTGAAAGATTTTTTCTTTTTTAAATTCAAAACCAATATGTTAAAATGACTTTGGTATCATTTTTAGTGGTTGAGAACAAAAATACAAAGTAAAAATCTTTAAATGTCTGATTAAACTGACTTATAAAAATTTTTTTTTTTTACCTGTACCAAGGAGGCAGAAAGTCGCCACAAAATGTTTTAATTGCATTGTTGAAAAGTATCTGCCACAAATCTGTGATCTTCTGGGTTTAATTGGTGTCTCCAAAAGCTTCTTTGTGCTGCTGGAGAAACACAATCGTGAAAAAAAAGTTTAAAAAATCAGATGAACATGTAGTCAATGACCAACAACAGTCAACTTTAAAATTATTCAAACATTCCTGTCATGTTTTAGGGGGGAAAATACATTTTTTATCTGCTGGAAGCATAAATTTTACATGATTACCATCTAAAAACAATATATTTAAACAATTTTTTGTATTTCTAACTGACTTTTAAAAAGACATAAATGTCTGTATTTCTGTCAAATTTACAATAACAAGACAAACCTTAAATAAATGGAAATAATTTCAATTACCAGTGGGTTTATTATTTAATCACTAATGAATTAATGGGTTATAATCATAATTATAATGATTGCTAGGATTAAAGCACGAAAGAAAAAAGTTAAAAATCTTGTGATCAGAGCAGTTTACTCACCTGAGAAGATGTGGATGACTGTCATATGTTTTGCTTATATCAGGTGGTAATCACACCTGAACCCCTCCCATGTGGCTGTTGTGTTGCAACACATTACCAGTGTAAAAATACATATCTGGGTGTTATTTTCAGATTTTTCATTGTTGACCCTTTTGTTGACTTCCTTTTAAGCATAAAGGAGTTGATTAACAGGTTTTATGATTAATTAACTTTTATGTGATGTCATTGATCAGTAGTTTGAGCTGATTAAAAAAGCTCAGGTTGGATCAAAACACTCTCAGTTAATATATAATCATTTCATGTGATGTAACCTTCATGTTGAGGAAAAAGTTATTCTTGATCCTGAACCTTGTCTGACACAAGTCTATTGCTTTAGTTATTACTTACTGCCATRAAAAGCTTGTAATAAGTGTTTTTAGCACAATATCTCATAAGTCAGTGGATGAAATGTAACGATGCCATACAGCTAATTCAAGATGGCTTCCACAAATATTCAACATTAGCAAATGCAAAATTTGCTAAAATGTTGTGTGGTAGTAGTAGCTGAGAGTAGTCCCTAATACTGTGAGTACTAACCGATTGAGTTGTTTGGTGATTATGATGGAGTCAGCTCAGTCTGTGATGAAATTTACTCACTGGCTGACAGAGCAGGAAGTAGGTAAAGCAGGGAAGAGTGCTACATTCAGGCCATAAAAACAGACATAAACTTCCTTATTTCTTCTTGTTAATAATGTGAGTTCCTGTTTAAAGTAAATCATGAATGAGCCACAACATTATGAGACTTTAAGGAAAACTGCAGCTGAGATACAACAGCTGAACTCGCAGGTTTCCCCTCAAAGTTCAGGAATGGTGAGGAGGTAAAAGATGACTTCTCTAATAAGGGTTTATCATCTATCCATCTGTCCATTTATCTGTCCATCCATCTCTTCATCCACTTGTCTGTCCATCTGTTTTCTTCTACCTCCTTTGTTGTGCCAGTTTGTGGGGATCTTCTGCTAGACCAGGAGGGTCCAGTCCTGGTCCTCGAGAACCGATATCCTGCATGTTTTAGATGTTTCCCCGCTCCAACACACCTGATTAGGTTAACTCTAATTTATGGTTGTTTGTTGATGAACTGAAGACACAACCAGGGTGCCCCCTTCCTGCTGAAGACATGGACCTTCGACCCAAAAAGGCAAATCAGGTGAAGAATTTTTTGGTATGTTTTACCGGGTTTAACTTTGAAGTGCCTGTGACATCAAATTTTTGTAATAAACATGAATGCATTTTTGTAAAGTTAACATTGATAACATATTGCTAATAAAGTCAGGTTGCTGAGACCAATAGTTGTTGAGATATTTGTATGTGAAGAAACAGGAAGTGATGTCAAAGGGGAATGTCTGCATGTGAACACAGCAGTGCCACAACAGCTAACAACACAGACTGTAGAGAAGAATCTGATGTTTGTTTAGATTTAGATTTTGAGCTTTTATCAGAGAGATAAAGAAGAGTCAAAGTGAAAATAAAAAAAAACAAAGACGTGGGAGTTTTCTTTCCTAAAGTGTTCCCCCTTTGATGTCACTTCCTGTTTCACTTTGGCTGAGGAAAGATCAAAAGAAAATATGCTAGTTATGGGACAAAATGGATAAAATTGTGTGTATTATGCTAGGTTTCTTACATATTTAGATGTTTTCTTTGACTTTTTGTAATTGAAGCATATGTCATTGGCACTTTAATAATAATTTATCAATTCTTCAACAAAAATCAGTGAAGTCATACTCCAATTATCATTATCAGTGTATTTTGTGCACCTTTAGAAAGTCTTTTGAGTTTTTCTTTTCCTTTTATTTATCAAATACATTAAGTGAAATTAAGTTAAACAAAAAATGCTTTTATCAACTTGGCTCAAATAACAAGAAGATAGCTGATTGAAATTGGCCAATTTTATTTATTTAACACATGAAATATAATTCAATATTTGTCTATTGTCGTGAGTGAATGGTTGTAAAAAATAGTTTTTTTCTGTAAATTCTGACATTTGACACATGGAGCATCTTTAGAAAGAAAATGTGAAAAATTTTGGTCATTTTGACCCAATACATGATGAGAGATTCATATTTCCAAAACAGGACTTCCTAAACCGTCAAATCTCTGGCAGCAAATAGAAATATTAAACGTATTCGACATATAAAAAAAGGTGACGATCAACTTAAAATTATCTCAATTTCCAGTCAGACCAATCATCATCATCATCATCATCATCATACAGTTGAGTTTTTTTTTTTTTTTTTTTTTTTTTTTCCTTTTGGCCCAGGACGTCATCAGCAAAGACACCAAATTTATTCAGAGCTGAGCCTTTCAGACAAAAACACTTCAGGGTCCATTTGGCCGGTCCAGGATCAGGTCTGACGTTGGGTCGGGTTCTGTTTCAGCTTGAAATGTTGTRTATTTTAAGTCCTGAATTGGTGAGAGCTGCTCTCAGATCTTGTTGGTGTATTTCAGCAGACCGTAGATACCACCGCCTGAAATAAAGATGTCTGATTTAAAGTTGTCGTCAGTTCACCAGAGACACAATGAAACAGCTCATCCTGCTGGACTTCAGCTCATCTAGCAAGACTCCTGTGCAGCTAGCCTTTAGCTCATAGTAATCCTATTGCTCATTAGTTCTGCCTTTCTACCCATCTGTTAGCTCATCTAGCATGCTTTTCAGCTAATTTAGCTTGCATTCTTCTCATATTTTATTTAGGTAGCTTTAGCTGATCTAACCAGCCTTCAGCTCATCTACCTTCAGCTGATCTGGTTATCTTGTTGTTCATCAGTCTGAAGTTCTGCCATTATGCCATCTTTCAGCTCATTTTCCTAGATTTTAGCTCTTCTTGCAAGCCTTTTGGCCATATCTCAACTCATAGGTTTTCAGCTCATTTAGCTGGCCTTTTTCTCATGAACCTAACCTCAGATGATGTTGGTGTGATGGTGATCGTACTCACCCAGCAGACCAGCCCCAGCGATCGAACCAATAACAATGCCGGCTATAGCTCCTCCTGAAAGACCTCCTGTTGAAGGTTCTGCGGTGGGCTGAGCAGTCTGGGCTGTAGAGGGTCCAGAAACASCTGTAGCTCCTGAAGCGGTCGCACCTGTAGCTCCTGAAGCGGTAACACCTGTAGCTCCTGAAGCGGTTGCACTTGTAGCTCCTGAARCRGTAGTACCAGGTGCCACAGTTGTTCYGGTGGAACTCGATGTTGAACTACTGACACTTGATGCAGGCGTGGTAGTAGTACTAGGAGTAGGAGTAGATCCACTCTGTGATCCACACAGGGTTACTGAATAAATACAAAAATAGAGAGAAGATTTAAAGAGCAATAAAAATGTTACATAAGAACATTCATTGGAGCCTCAAACAAACAGCATTAAACAATACATTGTATTAAAAAATTACTGACGTTATTGGTCATCAGATTTCTCTACTGTGTTTTATACAGAAGGTTTGAGTTAAAGAAAGATCTTGTACCACTGTTTATTTAAAATGGAAGTACGAAAGCTTAGGTGAGCGYTTTGTGCACTTGTGACAAAACTGTATGTCCTACAGCAGTCAGTTCCTTTTATGAACCTAAAATGAGGTAGTTGMGAAACCATAAAATCTATTTAAAATACCAGCCAAGATGTGTAAAGTCCAGATTTCTGTGACTCATTCAAACTTTGATTTTTTTTTAAAATCTGAACTGGTGTGTTCAGGGCAGGAAAACGGACAAAATTTGTGACAGAAACCGAACAAAATGGTCATACGGAGGTTTCAGTGAATTTTGTCTGCGTCAGTCAGATAATAAAGCTAACCTTTATTCATTTAGATTCAGGAAATGAAACTATGACCGTGACCAGCCCTTTTTCTTCTCATTTATGACCTCAATTGACTTTCACCTTTRGTCACAACCATTAAAAAATACTTTAATACAACTCAACACCTTAACACAAAATAAAGAGTTTATACATTATTTTTAGGAACATCTTAAAAGAGCCATAATCGTTTTTGAAATGGGTTGATTGATTTTATTTGGGGATTGCCGAGGGTTCATAACCRAGTTAACTTTTTTGTTATTGCCATGTCATTGTTAGAGGATGTTTTACTGCCTTATCTTCAAATATTTATTTTTCCATTCCCGTCTTGCAGTTTATTGCTCTGAACATACTTTCACTCTATGAGGTCAATATCAGTAACCCTCCTGCTGCCCTTGGGTCAAATGGACCCACGGGTCCCAGCTTCTGTGTGCTCGCGAGTCTTTTTTTCACCTAACAGCAGCAGGAGAGAAAAAAAGGTTTAAAAGTTAAGTTAGTAATTAGTTAGTAATTAATATATTTTAGTTTGGATTTATCTATCAAACATTATTGATCTCTTTTTGTTTAAAATAAGACTAACACCACTACAGGTGTGCTAATAAGAGGGGTGTAATGTCAACCCCTAAAAGTAATTGGTGGCCCCCCAACTGCCCCCCGATTGTACAGTTTTATCCTTCTAAGATTTTGCTTGGTGTGAATTTTTAATTTCCCCTAGTTATAATACAAACTTTAGTTTTGAGAAATTATGAATTAAAAATCTAAATTATTATTTAAAATAAAAAAATTAAACCTAAATCACCCTCAATAGAACTAAAGCTAAAGTTGTCAATATTTGGATGCAGTACCTAGACAGTAGTTTGCATATTACTTTAATACATGTAAATATACTAGAAGACTTGAGTAGTGACAGAGCTTTAAAAAAATGAAAGTATCTGATTCAATAGCTTCCTAAATCTCCTGAAATTCTATTACGGTTTATGTTTTTGGTGCCACCTCATGGCCCCCCAACATTTTCAGAGGTGCCTCTAACAAACCAAASCGTAAAAATAAAACAGTTCACCTGAACAAAGGAGGCAAAGAGTCACGATAAAAGGCTTCATTGCTCTGTTCTGGTGAGTTTCTTCTGTACTGAAAAATTAAAAACAAAACACAAAACAAATATAAAAACTCACATTTACATGGTAACAAATTCATACTCTTAAAGAAAAACTTTTTTTCTGGTAGTTCATTTTTTGTTACCAGACAATCATAAGTTAATAAAGTTTTTCCTTTTCTAATTCTATTTTCACTTTTACATGCAAATTATTGAATTGTTTCTCCTGCAACACATTTAATAATCCAGGTAGAAAAATCTAACAAGGTTAAATTAAGTCCTTTCATGTTTTTCTTTGTTCAAACATTTCATCCAAAAGACTTCTTTAGGCAAACTCAGTCTTATAGACTGAAGAAGTCTTTTGGATAAAAGACGAAATGTTTCAACAAAAAATAACCCATCCCTTGTGACACTGTTTCTGTGTCTCAAACAATTTGTTCCGTCAAATTTACAACCTATTTTATAAAATTTACTTCACCAGTCCAAAATAAAGAAAACAGTGGTGACTTCAGTGGTGCTTTAAAAAAATTAACACCATGATAATATGATTAGAATATCTGGTATTTAATTTGTAATAATAAATGCTGAGATGTACCTGTGATTACCAGGTAACAAAGCTTAAATATCAATAAATTAGCTGTTAGAAAGGTGTTAGGAGGAGAGCTCAGCTACTCACCTGAGAGGCTGTCGATGATAACTTTCCAGTTCCTGTAAGACCAGACTATATTAACCTTTTACGACCCTTTTATCACATAACCCTGTCATTTCTATCCCTCCCATCTGAGCCATTGATTCTGTCATCAGTCACATGTTCAGAACACATTTGGTTAAAATTACCAACCCTTTACTGCTCATTTATTGACCAGAAAAAAAAGACATGATTCAGAATCCATAAATGTTACAGGTGATGACAACATCTATTTTTTTCATAACCAGTAAGCAATGGGTCTGATTAATTTAGCAATTTAGAGAAAAAGAATCAATGTTCATAGATACATACTCACCACAAAAAGAATATTTGTCAGTTTTTAACCCTTAAGTTGGAAATTTGTTACAACCGGCAGCTGGAAACTGTGAAAACTGAGGCAACAGAAGCTGATAACGCATGGTTACCACGCTGTGTTTGCTCAGCTCTGTCCAGCAAACTGTAGCTAAAACACATGGTTACCACAGCAGMGCATTTACACGATGCAGACGTAAAACGGACACTTCTCATTTGCCAAAAACAGTCTGCTGTCAACTCAGTGAATTCACCTCCTCATCAGAAATATAGTACTTTAACATCAACCTGAATTCATTCAGTTTTGGTCTAGATGTACTGTATGCAGCAGACCGTGTTTGTTCAAGCAAAGTCAACACACCTGGCTCCATCTTGTGCTAATCCTGGATCAAGATGCCTCAGATGTCAAACAATTGACCCATCTGCATTTATTGATATAAACCCTTAGAACAACAAGCTGGTTAGTATTAATTAAAAAATAAAATGAAATAATTTTATGGATTTTCTTTGACCCCATGAGTTCATTAGATGTCATCTTGTTAACAGAACTCTGGTGTTTGTCACACCTAGAGTGGGACCAGCAGGACTTTGACTGGGTGGAGCAGAAGGGACGGAGAGTTGAAAAGTATTGTCATTGTTATAAATGAAACGTGAACTTTTTTTTCTGTTTGAACTCACATTTTTATGAGAGGTGACCTTTGGTTCCTGGTATTTCTGGGTAGAGTTTAGATTTGGTTAGCCTGTCCTGGGTGTCCCGTCCCTGCCTAATGGACAATGACTGCTGGACATGGGCAACAGACTGTTCCCCTTGACAATGGAGGAATATGGGCACTAGGAAACATGGATACCAGGAAATGGAGTGACAGAGAAACATAGGAGCACAGGTACAAAGGAACATAGGTAGGCCTACAGGGGAACACAAGTACAAAGGAACGTAGGTACCTAAGAACATAGGTAATGGGTAACATTGGTACCAAGGAACATAGGTACTGGGGAGCATAGGTACAAAACAACACAGATACTGTGGAACATAGGTACCAAAGAACATAGGTAATGGGTAACATTAGTACAAAGGAACATATGTACTGGGGAGCATAGGTACAAAAGAACACAGATACTGGGGAACATAGATATCAAAGAACATAGGTACAAAAGAATATAGGTATTGGGGGACATACCAAAGAACATAGGTATAAAGTAGCACAAGTACTGGGGTACACAGGTACAAAGGAACATAGATACCGAAGAACATGGGTAATGGGTAACATTGGTACCAAGGAACATAGGTACTGGGGAGCATAGGTACAAAAGAACACAGATACTGGGGAACATAGATGCCAAAGAACATAGGTACAAAGTAACAAAGGTACTGGAGAACACAGGTACAAAGGAACATAGATACTGTGGAATATAGATATTAAAGAACATAGGTACAAAGGAATGTAGGTATTGGGGAACATATAAAAGGAACATGGATAGCAAAGAACATACAGGTGCTGGTCATAAAATTAGAATATCATGAAAAAGTAGATTTATTTCAGTAATTCCATTTAAAAAGTGAAACTTGTATATTATATTCATACATTACATACAAACTCATATATTTCAAATGTTTATTTCATTTAATTTTGATGATTACAAATGACAACAAATGAAAATCTCAAATTCAGCATATCAGAAAATTAGAATCTTGTGAAAAGGTTCAAAATGGATGGCACCTGGTACCACACTCTAATCAGCTAATTAACTCAAACCACCTGCAAAGGCCTTTAAATGGTCTTTCAGTCTAGTTCTATAGGCTACACAATCATGGGGAAGACTGCTGACTTGACAGTTGTCCAAAAGACGACCATCGACACCTTGCACAAGGAGGGCAAGACACAAAAGGTCATCGCTAAAGAGGCTGGCTGTTCACAGAGCTCTGTGTCCAAGCACATTAATAGAGAGGCGAAGGGAAGGAAAAGATGTGGTCGAAAAAAATGTACAAGCAAGAGAGATAACCGCACCCTGGAGAGGATTGTGAAACAAAACCCATTCAAAAATGTGGGGGAGATTCACAAAGAGTGGACTGCAGCTGGAGTGAGTGCTTCAAGAACCACCACACACAGACGTATGAAAGACATGGGTTTCTGCTGTCGCCTTCCTTGTGTCAAGCCACTCTTGAACCACAGACAGCGTCAGAAGCGTCTTGCCTGGGCTACAGAGAAACAGGACTGGACTGCTGGTGAGTGGTCCAAAGTCATGTTCTCTGATGAAAGTAAATTTTGCATTTCCTTTGGAAATCAAGGTCCCAGAGTCTGGAGGAAAAGAAGAGAGGCACTTCATCCACGTTGCTTGAAGTCCAGTGTAAAGTTTCCACAGTCAGTGATGGTTTGGGGTGCCATGTCATCTGCTGGTGTTGGTCCATTGTGTTTTCTGAGGTCCAGGGTCAACGCAGCCACATACCAGGAAGTTTTAGAGCACTTCATGCTTCCTGCTGCTGACCAACTTTTTGGAGATGCAGATTTCATTTTCCAACAGGACTTGGCACCTGCACACAGTGCCAAAGCTACCAGTACCTGGTTGAAGGACCATGGTATCCCTGTTCTTAATTGGCCAGCAAACTCTCCTGACCTTAACCCCATAGAAAATCTATGGGGTATTGTGAAGAAGACGATGCAATACACCAGACCCAACAATTCAGAAGAGCTAAAAGCCACTATTAGAGCAACCTGGGCTATCATAACACCTGAGCAGTGCCACAGACTGATCGACTCCATGCCACGCCGCATTGCTGCAGTAATACAGGCCAAAGGAGCCCCAACTAAATACTGAGTGCTGTACATGCTCATACTTTTCATGTTCATACTTTTCAGTTGGCTAACATTTCTATAAATCCTTTGTTTTTATTGGTCTTCAKTAATATTCTAATTTTCTGATATGCTGAATTTGAGATTTTCATTTGTTGTCATTTGTAATCATCAAAATTAAACGAAATAAACATTTGAAATATATGAGTTTGTATGTAATGTATGAATATAATATACAAGTTTCACTTTTTAAATGGAATTACTGAAATAAATCTACTTTTTCATGATATTCTAATTTTATGACCAGCACCTGTAGATACAGTAACATAGGTACTGGGGAGCATGGGTATAAATAAACATAGGTACTGGGGAACATAGATACCAAAGAACATATGTGCAAAGGAACATCGGTACCAGGGAAACAGGTATTAGGGAACATAGGTACTGCAGAACATATGCACCAAAGAAGCATAGGTACTGGTCAAAATAGTTGTTTTAGGGGTGGCCATTGCCCCCTTTAGTCCCTCCTTGGTTGCTCCCCTGGCCTGGYGTCTGTCTGACTCGTTTTTAAATGTAATTTTCAAGGTAATTTTGCCTAATGTGAAAAAAGTTTTAAACATTTTTAGTGTGTTTCAAACATTTTATCCCAGGTTTTGAACATTTACTTCACATCTTTCTGGTGTCGAGAGATCATGTAACCGCCTAAAGGCTGTCTCAGCTCACAAACTTTTAACTCAGCTGGTTTTACAGATGCTGAGCTAAAATCTGACGTGATCATAGCAGTGTTGTCCACATCACATACTTTTCTCTATAACATGTTGCACAATATCTTTTTTTTAAAACTCTGGCATGCAATGTGGCATTCCTTCACGTTAAAGTTGCGTATAATCTGTAGAATTTAGTTTCTGTTTGGTTTGGAATGGCAGAATAAATATTGATTCTTGAGATGTGCTTTAAACGCCACTTAGTTTGTGRAGAATTTGAACATTTTCTGGTTATTTTGTAGTAGAAAATGATTTTCAGAGCTGCTGACATTAAAACCATTGTCATCACCTAAAATTAACTGAATGTGAAAGAGAATTATTTGGGTATTAAATTGATTTTAGTGGTTATGAAATGTAGTTGTTGTGTAACTGATTGTAAAAAAATAATCAATTTATTGCGTCGTTACAGTCTAATCATTGTAGTGAGTAAATGATCAATGCTCCTTTTTGCCCAACCCTGTTGTGGTAAGATCATACTTTAAGACTTACTGTTTTAATCTGGTTGTTTGAGGATTTAAATGCTGTCATAAATGCATAAAAACCTGAGATAAAATGACCAAAGGAAATGCACTTTAAAATGTCTATAAACAGACCAGCGGAGCTTCAGTAAAATGAAACCTAAATAAAGAGCAAAACTGAACTTTTGTTCATGTTAGGAAGAAAACTAACCAAGGCTCCTTTGGTTCTATGATTGTTATATTGCCTGCCATAGAAATGCATGAGAAGCAGTGCATTTYAATGGGTTGTTCTCCTCCAAAAGTGTTTAGTGGTTTGAATTATGAGTCGGTTTTAACTCTGATCCTATTCTCTTTTCACCATTTTTTTCTCAATGAAACTTCTGTTATTTTGTAAATCAAACGGTTCAGCTCATATATATATATA